GTGTGGGTTTCCTAATCAAGTCCAATCAGTATAATCAAACACAGCTGGACTCAAATGAGGGTGTAGAACCATCTCAAGGATGATCAGAAGAAATGGACAGCACCTGAGTTAAATATATGAGTGTCACAGCAAAGGGTCTGAATACTTAGGACCATGTGATATTTCAGTTTTTCTTTTTTAATAAATCTGCAAAAATGTCAACAATTCTGTATTTTTCTGTCAATATGGGGTGCTGTGTGTACATTAATGAGGAAAAAAATTAACTTAAATGATTTTAGCAAATGGCTGCAATATAACAGAGTGAAAATTTTAAGGGGTCTGAATACTTTCCGTACCCACTGTATATATATACACACACACACACAGATCCATCTAAAAAAATTATTTAAAAAAGTGAAACTTTCATATATATTCTAGATTCATTACATGTAAAGTAAAACATTTCAAAAGTTTTTTTTGTTTTAATTTTGATGATTAGAGCTTACAGCTCATGAAAGTAAAAAATCTAGTATCTCAAAATATTAGAATATTTCCTAAGATCACAAAAAAAATAATAATAATAAAAAAAAGGACTTGCAAAACAGAAAAGCTCAAATTCTTTAAAGTATGTTAATTTCTGCACTCAATAGTTGGTCGGGGCTCGTTTAGCACAAACTCCAGCATCAGTGAGGAGTGAATGGAAGCGATCCGCCTGTGGCTCTGCTGAGGCACTAGTGAGCTTCAGCTCTGATCCACTGTTTATCATCTTTCTCTTGATATTATAGATAGATATCTCATAGATTCCACATGGGCTTCAGGTCAGGCATGTTGGCTGGCCAATCAAGCACAGTAATATCATTGGAAGTGGTTTTGGCTCTGTAGGTAGGTGCTAAAGTTCTGCTGGAAAAGGAAATCAGCATCTCCATAAAGCTTGTCAGCAGATGGAAACATAAAGTGCTCCAAAATCTCCTGGTAGACGGCTGCATTGACTTTGGACTTGATAAAACACAATGGAGCAACACCAGCAGATGCCACGGCTCCACAAATCATCTCTGACTTCAGAAACTTCACACTGGACTTCAAGCAGCTTGGATTCTGTGCCTTGGATTTCTTCCTCCAGACCTTGATTTCCAAATGATTATGCAAAATGTACTTTCATCTGAGAAGAGGACTTTGGAGCACTGAGCAACAGTCCAGTTATTTTTCTCCTTAGCCCAGGTGAGATGCTTCTGACATTGTTTCTGTTTATGGAGTTTTCCTGAAGACGTCTGAGCGTGGTGACTCCAGCTTCAGTCCACTCCTTGTGAAGCTCTCCCAAGTGTTTGAATCAGCTTTGCTTGACAGTATTCTCAAGCTTGCCATCATCCCTGTTGCTTGTGCACCTTTTCCTTCCCAATTTCTTCCTTCCAGTCAACTTTGCATTTAATATGCTTTGATACAGCACTCCGTGAACAGCTGCTCTTTCAGTAATGAGCTTCTGAGACTTACCCTCTTTGTGGAGGGTGTCAGTGATCGTCTTCTGGACCATTGCCAAGTCAGCAGTCTTCCCCATTATTGTGGTTTCAGAGAACAAGAGATACCCAGAACTTATACTGTAGAGATGGTCATTTAATGAAACTAAAATGTAAATATTCTAATATTTTGAGAAACTGGATTTTTGACTTTCATGAGCTGTAAGCTCTAATCATCAAAATTAAAACAAAAAAAACTTTTGAAATGTTTTACTTTACATGTAATGAATCTAGAATATATATGAAAGTTTCACTTTTTTAAATAATTTTTTTAGATGGATCTGTGTGTGTGTGTGTATATATATACAGTGGGTACGGAAAGTATTCAGACCCCTTAAAATTTTCACTCTGTTATATTGCAGCCATTTGCTAAAATCATTTAAGTTAATTTTTTTCCTCATTAATGTACACACAGCACCCCATATTGACAGAAAAATACAGAATTGTTGACATTTTTGCAGATTTATTAAAAAAGAAAAACTGAAATATCACATGGTCCTAAGTATTCAGACCCTTTGCTGTGACACTAACATGCACACACACATATACATACATATATATACACACGATAAAATAATAAATACTGCACTTACATAATTATACAATATTAATAGGTAATTACATGTGTGCAATTATTATAATTAATAAATGCGTGTATGCACATAATAATATTCTGTTAAAGTATTATTAGAACAGAAGGTCCAGTAGCTTCCTATGCTCTTGTAGTAAAGGTCTGATGGAGTGAAGTGTGCAGTGATGCTGCCCTCTGCTGGCAGTGCACACTACAGCACACTTCTCCTGAGCTCACCACAGATGTTTATTTCCTGTTTCTGAAATCAAACAAACTCTGGGAACCATTAAACATTACTCCAGCAGCAGGGCATCGAATCAAACACAATCAGCCCAATAACCTGCATGAGTGAATATGGAGCGCATATGGAAATGAGACGTCAACTAATGAATGAATCATGAAACGAGCTTCTCACGCATCCCATCCATCAGCGCTGAGAGAAACACTGAAGACTAGAATACTTCATTCAGATTTATCAGAAGGACTTGCATATTATAAAGCACCATGGTATTACCATGTTTCTTGGACATGTATAAAATAGCACGCTACAGATGTGAAGTAATGAGGATGAATTTTCATTTAGACCTTTAATGTGCGGAAAAACGAAGGGCCTTAGAGAGATGAATGAGACATACCTCAATTTGCAGGATTTCTTCTTCCTGTTGTTTTTTAATGCCTGAAACAATGGCCTGATGCTCTGAAACACACACACACACACACACACACACTGTAAAATCTATAGGAAATATGAGTGTGAATATGAATGAAGTTTCAGGACAATCATTTTTATTATAATTCAAACACTAACTTCACGAACACTACTGAAGGTTGAACGCAGATGCTCTGCAGTAGTTCGTTTTGTAAAGAAACTGATATTTAGAAACAATGTATTCTTTGATTTTCATAAGCATTTATATCAAAATGTTTTAATATAAAATACATACACGCGCACACACACACACACATCACACACACACACCATCACACACACACACACACACACACCATCACACACACACACACACACACACACACACACACACACACACACACACACACACACACACACACCATCACACACACACACAACATCACACACACACACAACATCACACACACAAAGTGGATCAAAACCTTTTGATCCACTTCAAATGTTGACTACTGTATACACATGCAACACATACACACACACACACACCAAAAAATACATAAAATATATTAAAAATTTAATATATTAAAAAACATGCGTCCACATGTTTGAGTAGAAATCTTCGTAAACTCACACAACACATGGCACCAAGGATGAAAACACGGTGTAATCATGCGAATGACGTGAATGTGATCAGTGATGGAGGGAATGATTAATTGCTGCTTGTTGCTAGGCAACATTAGTAAACAAACACTAGCACAAGGTGGAAAAAGCCTAGAATGAATACAAGTGCTTTAATATTTCTGAAGCTCAGCTCAGCTCAGTGACAGAGTTGAAATGAGGCGAAGCCACTGAAGACACGGCGTGATTGAGTTACTCACCCTCCTGCTCCTCGACCGCTGCAAAGAAATCATCTCGTTTAGACATTCAGAACCCTGAACCGAGTTAAAATGACTTTCCAGACTCTAAAAACCCATGAATCCTGTTTCTGAAGATGAATGTAGAAGATGGAGCTTGATTAACATCAGCTGACTGCTAGATGAACTGAAGATCGTCTCTCTATAACGCATGAATCTGAGAACTAACAGACAGCAGGATGAGCTTTCGGTACGAATAGAGACCTGAAATCCTGAAAAAATACATCTCAAGAGTCAAGACTCAATATTATACCAGCCATGTTATTTTTCATTTTATTTGAGGTTTGGGGTTTTGTTTTAAACCGTGATATGTCAGATTTTATCTACAAAAAAACAATGCATTGCATTAAAGAGAGTAATATTTCTAACAATAACTAGTTGAATGCTTGAGTTCGATGAATGCAGTCAGAAATACACTTTGTGTGTGTGTGTGTGTGTGTGTGTGTGTGTGTGAGCGTGCGAGTGTGTGTGTGTGAGTGAGAGTGTGTGAGTGAGAGCGTGTGTGTGTGTGAGAGTGTGTGCGTGCGAGTGTGTGGGTGTGTGTGAGTGAGTGAGAGCGTGTGTGAGTGTGCGTGCGAGTGTGTGTGTGCGTGCGTGGGTGTGTGTGTGTGAGTGTGTGTGTGTGTGTGTGTGAGTGAGTGAGTGAGTGCGAGCGTGTGTGTGTGAGAGAGAGTGAGAGAGTGAGAGTGTGTATGAGAGAGCGAGCAGAGAGTGTGTGTGTGCGAATGTGTGAGAGAGCGTGTGTGCGAGTGAGAGTGTGAGTGTGTGTGTGTGTGTGAGTGTGTGCGTGCGTGTGTGCGTGCGTGCATGAGTGAGTGAGAGAGAGCGTGTGTGTGAGTCTGAGTTTGAGTGAGTGCGTGTGTGCGAGTACGTGTGTGTGTGTGTGTGTGTGTGTGTGTGTGTGTGTGTGTGTGTGTGTGAGAGAGTGACCATACCATCCTCTGTGTATTTGGGTTGGGGCCGGTCCTGGGCTCCGGGTCTGGTCAGGGGCCACAGGTTCTTCAGGTGTCCCTCCAGACTCTCCAGAGACGGAGGCGGCTGACAGACGGCTGCCCATGTGTACAGCTGATCGTGCTGGAGACGCAGGAGAGACAAAACACCATCAGGTATCCAAACACAAACCTGCAGTAACAGCACAGATCATTAACCAATCACATCCAGGCCCGGATTTATCAAGCCTCTGAGAATTACTCACAAAACGCTGCTAAGAATTGACGTAAGTGTACAAAAATTCTTGGCTCAAAGCTGCGCTTAAGAAAGTTAGTTATCAAGCATCTCAGTCGTAATTTAAACTGAACTGAGCCGGATGATGCCTTTAACTGAAAATTCAGTCTTTACTTTTGTCCTACCTAATACAGTATTATTACCTAATTACGGTAATACTGTAAAGCTGCTTTGACACAATCTGTATTGTTAAAAGCACTGTATAAATAAAGGTAGGGAGCAGTGTTGTTATCATTAAATAAAACCACTGAAAAACTATGCTTTCAGCAAATAGTTTGTTGCTAATGCAGCCTTTCTAGTCGAAGTACTAACATTACTCAATTTTAAATGAAATAAATTATAATAAACAAAACTTATTTTCAAAATCACATTGACAAAATCACAACAATATTATTGTTAACTGAAACTTAAACATGCACATAATTGAAATAAACGTGAACTGAAGTAAAAGTAAATAAACAAAATAAACTTATACAAAACTTTCAGTTATTCTTTCAATATATATTCCAGTTAGTTGTCAAAGGCAACATTTAAAAGTTTTATTAAAGTTGAATTACTAAAATAACTAAGATACATAAAATTATTTTTTTTAAATCATTAACTAAATCAATTAAAAACCATTTACATTCATTTAAATAAAATAAACTTGAACTGAAATTAAATAAAATAAGAAAACTTTCAGTTATACTTTAAATAATCCAGATAGTTGACAAGGCAACATTTAATTTGAATAATTTTAGTACTTAAACTGAAATTTAAACAAACAAAAAAAACCTGACAAACTAAAATGGAAACAGGAAATATAAAATTAACTCAAAATATTAATAAATACTATAAAACTAAATGCTAGAATAAAACGGCACTGAATCCACGTGAACCCAGAACACAAAGCGTCTCAGAAGCTGAAGTCTGATCAGCGCTGTCTGTGTAAACTGCTCGTTAAGTCAGGGTTAAGCGAAAGACATACAGAACCAGGACTGTAAACGCTGAACACACACTGCGGCACACACACAGCTCCGGTGTAACCCGTGTCTCGGACCGCTGAAGAGCTGAAGAGAACAGACACATTTGCTCACAACATGTCCAAACATACACGCCTTTAGGCCTAAAATGCAGATTTGAGTGTTTGAATTTCATATAAAATTTCCATTTATTTGGATTACATCATTTTAACAAACTTGCATATTAATGCATATGCGTGTAAACTTTCTGCAGTCAGAAAAACATGACTGTTTATGAACTATTTGCACCCGTTTGGTTTTATTTCAATAACGCATTTATTTAAATAGTGTAAAATCGGCATAAATCGGTTGATTGCAAAATCATATATTTCAGTTAAAAAGTATGAGCATGATTTAAATATAGCTGTGGAACAAGCCATTTAATTACATTTGTTAAAAAAAAATATATATATAAATATATGGTTAAAAATCTAATAAAACATGCTTCAGAAATAAAGGGGTTTGGAGGATAAAAGAGTCCATGTGGAATCTTGTGTATGAGCAGCTGTATAAAATCACTAAATCATGCTGTGGTTCACGAGTTACTTGATGAGCCGTGGCCTTGAGCAATTTAATCTCAGCCAGCATATTCGTACGGGTTTAGAGCGACGAAAGCAGGTGAAAGATATCAACATTCATTTTCAGATGAACTGGTCCTTTCTGCATGTGCATCAGCAGATGGCGCTCTGACTCCCACAGCTTCTTGGGAACCTAAAGATGATGCCGAGCTTTTTCTTGGTAAGAGCCAATCACAATCGAGCAGCAGATCACATGATGCCAACCTCAGCCAGTAAGAACAAAGACAACAAGACCTCATGCGTGTCCATTCATTATAGTGTGTTCATGTTCCCCCAGTCCAGAGAATTAAATGCAATCTCAGTTTGTTCTGTTTCTTCATGTGACTCCAGACAGACTGATGATGATCAGATCAGAGCTCTGAGTGCAGCACTAACATATAGGAGAATTAGCTGCTGAGCTAGAACACAGCTATTCTAAGATAGCTATGTCCTAAACGTCTTATGAAGGCTTGTAGTCCAGAATAACTACACACAGCTAGCCTACATAGACAGCCAGATCTAGATTTAAAAACAAACTTTACCTGAAAAAAAAACACTTCAGATAGTTGCCAAGGCAACATTTCTTTTAATTTAGTTAGACTTGACTAAACGTACCAAAGAAAAAACTATTAATAAAACCTATAGAGACACAAAAACCATATAGATTTCATTAATTCATTATCAGTTATTTTAGTACATCAAGTCTATATCTATATCCATCCCTGCATACTACAAAAAGACAACAAAAACACAATTTAAGACAGAGAGTGTGTATGTGTGTGTTTGCGTGAGTGCCTGTGTGTGCGTGTGTGTGTGACAGTGTGAGTGTGTTGTGTGTGTGTGTGTGTGTGTGTGTGTGTGAGAGAGAGAGTTTGTGTGTGTGTTTGCGTGAGTGCCTGTGTGCGTGTGACAGTGTGAGTGAGTGTGTGTGTGTTTGTGTGTGACAGTGTGAGTGAGTGTGTGTGTGTGCGTGTGAGAGTGTGTGTGTGAGAGACAGTGTGAGTGTGTGTGTGTGACCGTGTGTGTGTGTGTGTGTGTGAGAGTGTGTGTGTGTGAGACAGTGTGTGTGTGAGAGAGAGTTTGTGTGTGTGTTTGTGTGTGTATGTGTGTGTGTGTGTGTGTGTGTGTGTGTGTGTTTGCATGAGTGCGAGTGCGAGTGTGTGAGAGAGTGTGTGTGTGTGGTATTTTCTGCAGATTTAAGAATGAGTCACTGCTGCAGTGCTTCAGCTGGAGCTTCATCTCCTCACCGTCTCACTATCCACATTAAACTCACAGTGAACAAATCTCACACACGCGCACTCAGGCATGATTATCAACAGCTCATTAAGTTCATTAGCATCATGTCAATAAGACCAAAAATGAGCCAGTGTTTAAACACGCTGTCAGAGAGCCAATGAGAAACAAGATGAAGTGCATCATGGGAGATGTAGTTCTGCCCATTAAACACAATCAATCAACACATCTGTACAGATGAATGTTATAAAAGTGATAATATCAGTGTTAGTCAAAAACAGAGTTGTTTTTAATAGTATCAGCACTGATCAGGCAGACACTGGAAGTCACAGGAGTCCAGCACGTGTCCAGAAAACACAGTGATTATGCTGGAGCAACAGAAATCAGAGCGAGGAGCTCAGCGACTGACAGGCGTTTAGAGATCTGACATGCTGTGTTCAGCCCCATCGACCGTGTGAGGAGAACAAAACACCACGAGAGGAAAGAGCGCTTCTACCATCAGCCAGTTCTTATGCAGAACACAATCAATTCCTTAAAAAACACTGGAACTAAATGATTCACGAGTCTCTACTATTTCGTGAAATTGATATTTGTGCATCATCTGAAAGCTGAATAAATAAGCTTTCCACTGATGTATGGTTTGTTAGGATCGGACAATATTTGAAAATCTGGAATCTGAGGGTGCAAAAAAATCTAAATATTGAGAAAATCATCTTTAAAGTTGTTCAAATGAAGTTCTTAGCAATGCATATTACTAATCAAACATTAAGTTTTAGGTACAGAATTTACAAAATATCTTCATGGAACATGATCTTAACTTAATATCCTAATGATTTTTGGCATAAAAGAGAAATGTATAATTGTGACCCATACAATGTATTGTTGGCTATTGCTACAAATATCCCCCAGCGACTTAACACTGCTTTTGTGCTGCAGGGACACATTTAGTATCTTAATGATACTACAGTAACACTGCTGTGAAGCTGCTTTGATAATCTGGATCGTACAAAATGCTATAGAAATAAATGTGACTTGAACTTCATTTGCTGCCAAACACAGTCACATGACGCTCTCTAATGCTCAGCCATTTCTCATCGATCCTCAGAGGTCAGTACAGTAGCGTGTGCTCTGAACTACAACAATCTGCCATCGATCTGATTGGCCGAGAGCGAGCATGGGCCTGATCACACCATCTGCTCTAGAGAGAACAGAGCGCATACAGAGATCCAGTGCAGAGACTCACAACATCACAGAGCTGAGCTGGATCATGACACTATCGTCTTCTGTAGAGCTGCTTTACAGCTGAAATTAAAGATCTATACTGAGCTTATATCTCACAATTCTAAGAAGGTGCTTAATATTGAGGCATGTATTATTACTATGAATCAGGCTACTGCTACTAATACTATCTTGTACCCTGCAATAAACATTTACTCAAACTCTCTTTTATGAGATGGGGGGGAGAAAATCGGCCAAACAAATTGACATCATATATCAGCATTGGCCAGAGAAAACCCCATATCGGTCAACCTCTAGTTCAGACAGATTCATTCAGATCCAGAGCTGTTCATCAGTCGCTGACACAAAGAGCTCTGACTGACAGAGAGAATATATTCACTGCACGCCAGAACAACAGACAGAGGAACAGAACAACCTCTCTTTATTCTCCTTCACGGACTGTACGGACACTCCGGTCTATCCATATATCTCACACACACACTTACAGACACACACACACACACACACACAGAGAGACACACACAGAGATCTTGTACCCTGCAATAAACATTTACTCAAACTCTCTTTTATGAGATGGGGGGGAGAAAATCGGCCAAACAAATTGACATCATATATCAGCATTGGCCAGAGAAAACCCCATATCGGTCAACCTCTAGTTCAGACAGATTCATTCAGATCCAGAGCTGTTCATCAGTCGCTGACACAAAGAGCTCTGACTGACAGAGAGAATATATTCACTGCACGCCAGAACAACAGACAGAGGAACAGAACAACCTCTCTTTATTCTCCTTCACGGACTGTACGGACACTCCGGTCTATCCATATATCTCACACACACACTTACAGACACACACACACACACACACACAGAGAGACACACACAGAGACACACACAGACACACACACACACAGACACACACACAGACAGGGTCAATTTTATGAAATTGAGGTTTATGCATCATCTGAAAGCTGAATAAATAATCTTTTCATTGATGTATGGTTTGTTAGGATCGGATAATATCTGAAAAAAAATAGGTGCAAAAAAGGGTGCAAAAAAATCTAAATATTGAGAAAATCATCTTTAAAGTTGTCCAAATGAAGTTCGTAGCAATGCATATTACTAATCAAACATTAAGTTTTGATATATTTACGGTAGGAGATTTACTAAATATCTTCATGGAACATGATCTTTACTTAATATCCTAATGATTTTTGGCATAAAAGAGAAATGTATAATTGTGACCCATACAATGTATTGTTGGCTATTGCTACAAATATCCCCCAGCGACTCAACACTGCTTTTGTGCTGCAGGCTCATAAATGCTTCCTACTATTGTCATTAAAGCTGCATGTATAATGACATTCACAATAGTTGAGATGCACTGCAGAACTGACCTGTGAACACCTGCTGGAAGCTGCATGTGGAGCTCTGATTGGCAGAGGGCCGCGGTGCGCTGGTTCTGAGCGTCTCCTCCGAGCCGGTGGCTCTGTGCTGCAGCGTGCGGAGCTCCTCGGTCCAGTCTGCGGAGCGGCTGATGGAGCCGGTGACGCGCCTCCTCTCGGCCCGGTCCGGTCCACGGCGGGTGGACAGCGGGCTGTGGGATGGCGAGGGGGCGGGCGAGCAGGAGGGCGAGCTCAGCTGTCGAGTGGTGGTTTTGATGTAGCACGTGCTGATGGGCGGATAGGGCTTGACTGCAGCCTTCAGCAGCCGTGTGACCAGAGGACTCTCCGGAGGGAAGGAAACGCTGCTCTTGCGCCTCTGGACGAGTTCCTCGATGACTGTGAGACACTCCAGCGAGCCTGTGGACCTGCTCGATTGCACCAAAAATCACAATCACGATTATTTAACCCGATTATGAGTGGGCCATATGAGCAAAACTTTAAAAGAGTGATTTATTTAAAGATATATGTGACCCTGGGGCACAAAACCAGTCATAAGGGTCAATTTTGTGAAATTGAGATTTATGCATCATCTGAAAGCTGAATAAATAATCTTTCCATTGATGTATGGTTTGTTAGGATAGAACAATATTTGGCTGAGATACAACTATTTGAAAATCTAGAATCTGAGCGCGCACAAAAATTTAAATATTGAGAAAATCATCTTTAAAGTTGTTCAAATGAAGTTCTTAGCAATGCATATTATTAATCAAACATTAAGTTTTGATATATTTACGGTAGGAGATTTACTAAATATCTTCATGGAACATGATCTTTACTTAATATCCTAATGATTTTTGGCATAAAAGAAAAATCTATAATTTTGACCCATACAATGTATTAACCCCTACCGGCAGAGAGCATTATTGACTGACTGTAAGCTATTTATTTATTCACTTTTTAACGCCATGCCAGCATCAAGGCTATTTACATGCTGATCTCAGAATAAATCACACAAAGTTATAAAAGACATTTCAAATCCACGCTGGACAAAAATTCTAAAACACATTCAGGTGATACATTTTCAAATGAATCAAATCATGCCTTTTAAATTCGATTGATAATATTTAACACTTTCCCCGCCAAACACAGAATTTCCCGTGTTTGTGTTCTCGCTGT